ATCAGTATAACTTAACCTTCTGCTATTAAATAATTAGTGAAAATAAATCAATCATAAACAGTTTTTCATAAGCGCTACTGACTTATAAGGAAAAACTGGACATTTGCGCACATATAATGATAATTTTATTCTCAAATATGAGATGAAAAAGCAAAAAAAAAAAAAGGAAAAGCGGAAATGGATGGCAAAGATTTAAAAGGAGGAAATTATTTAATAATTTATGCTTAGCAAATGATAATACTAGTTGTAATTGTAATTGTAATTATACTTTTTTTAATAAAAATCTTTTAGTAAAATATTTTTTTTTTGCTTTCTTATAATTTAACAATAACAATTTGCTTTCTTATATATTAATAATAATAATAAAAAAAAAAAGAAAAAAACTCGAATAACTAATGTCTTTCATGTAACACTGTGCTAATATAAAAAAATTGTGCTATAAATTCTCAGTGAGATGAACAATTGAAAAATTTTAGACAATATTGATGACAAAGTAAGGTTTAAGAGAAAATATTGCAACAAAGATTAATCACTATGCTAGATTTGTTATCAATTATCATTCATTATCAATTATCAAGATAAGCACATAGATTATGATTTCATTTTTGAGAATTAATAAAATTTCACAATATTTATAATTGTTAATTTATGTTTAAATTAATTCTTTCTTACAAATAATACATAAATAAAAACAAAATTAATCAAATTAATAATTTGAAAAATTTTCAATAAAATATAATTATTTCGGTTTGAAAAAAAAAAGAGAGAGAGAGGAAAAAGAAAGAGAAACATTATGAGAACTAAAAGGAAAAAAAAAAGCAAAAATTAGTTTAAGTTTTTTAAAACTTTTCTTTCACTCCTTTCCCTCTTTCTCTCTCTCTCTCTCTCTCTCCCTCTCCCTTTCTCTTTATCAAGTGACATTAATAGTAAAAGAGGAATGAATAATTAGAAAATGATTGAAATATTTTTGCATGAGGAATTGAAAAGAGAAATGTTATGGAAATTATTAATGCGTTTAAAAGTTAAAGTTAAATGGAAAAAAGAGAAAAGCAGTTGTTTGCAAAAAAAAAAAAAATATCAAAAAATAATTTGATGGAATGAAATGGATTTCCAATTCTATTTTTGCTTGAATATATAATATTTTCTTTTTGTTTTTTTTTTTGTAGAAATAAATTATACAATAATAACTTACTTTTTGCTTAGGTAACTTTGGCAAATATAATTTTAAATTAAAGATAATTTCATTAAAAATGAAAAATGGATTAGAGAAAACGAGAGAGAGAGAGAGAGAGGGAGAGAGGGAGAGAGAGAGAGAGAGAGGGAGAAATGAATTTTTTGTTAGTGATTGGAAAAAAAAAAGTAATAATAAAGAGTGAAAGAAAATGAAAATATATTTTAACAATTTATTTGCTTTTGTTAGTTTGGTGCAAATGAATAAATTATCATTTTGCACAAATTAATTTTTGCTATGAAATTTTCTGTAGTATTAGAAGAGATTAAAATTCTTTTATTTTAAATCAAAATCTTTTTTTTTTTGAAGATAGAAAGATGTGAAGAAATGTGTAAATTTAAAAAAATTAAATTACTGCTTTATCAATAATAAACAAATATTCAAAATGTCAAACATTGTTTTAATTATGATATGAATGATAGAAGTTTTTATGTCAAATTTTCAATTTTCAAATGCTCAATTTAAGAAAAAGCAGCAAAAATTTATTATGTATCAATGAAAATGAGGAATGCGTAATAATAATAATAATAATAATAATAATAATAATAATAATAATAATAATAATAATAATAATAATAATAATATAATAATAATAATAATAATAATAATAATAATAATAATAATAATAATAATAATAATAATAATAATAATAATAATAATAATAATAATAATAATAATAATAATAATAATAATAAGTAATTAAATGGATTCTAATAATTAAACAGTATGGCTTAATTTTTTGTTATTTAAAAAATGAAAATTGCATTTTTTTTTTTTTAATAAAAAAGAAAAAATTCAAAAAATTTAAATTAAACTATAAAAATATATATAAATAAAAAAAAATAGTTGTTTATGCAATTAATATTGCAATGAAATTTGAAATGGAAAATGTAAAGTATAAAAAAGAATGATTGTAAAATTTTTTAGATTAATATTTTTAAAATTGATGATATGAGGAGCATTAAATGAAATGATTATACATTTATAGAAATTGTTTATTTGTTAAATGGTACCTTTTATTGTTATCATTAATTTCTATTTGCATTCAAAATAAACCAGTTTTTATAATCGATATGTTCCATTTTAATTTGACATATGTCTTTCTAATTTATTACTTATTATCATAATCAATTATCATTCTATTGATAAAACCTTAATCTTCTTTTTAGCAAATATTAATTAACTTTTTTTTTTTTTGTTTATATTTTTTATCTTTTTTTTTTTCTGCTAATTATATTAACTTACTTTCATTTTTTTTTTTTTTAACTGTTACATTCTAAAATATTATCATTGTTTTCTTATTCTATCTAAAAATACTTAATTAGCATTATAAAATATTTTAAGAATTTGATATATTAATGTTATAAAGTATGCATAAATTATTTGAAAAAAAAAAAAAATTATTAAAATATATGAAATTTAAAAATGCTTATGTAAAATAGAAATGATAATTTTCCTTCAGGAATTTTTTTTTTTTTTTAAATTTTAATAAATAACAAATCTTTCGTTTCATCTTTTAATGAAAACTTTTTTTTTTTTTCCAGTCTTTGGAAATTTCAAAAGATTATGCTAATTCTTTCTTTCTTTTTTTTTTGAATTTAACACTAATATCTAGATATTTTTTTAATTCTTAATTTAAATAATCATACAATGATTTGATAATAATTATAAATGATAATGATAACGATAGTACTTATCCTATATGAATGATAAAAGATTAACTTTTAAATAATTTTTATTGTAATCATTTCAGGCATATAAAATCTTTCGTTTAGTTAAAAAAAAAAAGTTATTCAATTTAAAATTTTAATCAATAAAAGAAAAAAAAAGATTCATTGAATCATTAAACTTTCAATTATAAATAACACTGTTTTAGCTCATTTATTTAAATGCTATTAGTAATATTTTTTTCATTCAAAAATTAATTATAGCAAAATCATTTCTAATCGATTTTTATTTTTTCTTTCTCACTTTATTATTACTATCATCATTATTATTTATTTATTTTTTTTTTATTATTAATATTTATTTATCTATTTACCAATATTATTTACTTATTTAATACTTATTTAATTATTTTTATTGATTTATTAATATTTATTTATTTTCATTATTGTCATTATTAACTAATAAATTATTTTAATTATAAATTATTTATTAATATCTAATCTGATGCATTGGAATTTTAATGTTTTTGTCCTTGACGGTTTCATTCATCGTTGTTCAATCAATTTGTCATTTCCTTTAAAAACATAATATCATTGAAATTAGATTTAACTTTATTAATTATTTTATCATAAAATAATTTTTATAATAAAATTATTTTATTGTAATTATATCATTATAAAAATAAAATTTTATTATAAAAATTACTAATCTTTATATAATTAGTTATTATTAATCTCTTTATTATTACAAAAATTAATAATAATTAATAAGCGCAATAACCTTTTAAATTAATTAGCTAAATATAAAAATTTTTATTACTTTAAATGTTTTTTTTCTTTTTTTTTACTGCAGAGAATAATTGAGAAGAAATTTTGCTTTTCATTATTTAACAGTTACCTAAATTAATTAAGTAATTAAATAATTTTATTGTAAATCATAGTTAATGCTTGTAGTTAATCATTAATAAATTACTAAAATTGAATAGCTTTTAACTCAGCAAAAAATTAAATATTTAAATTCTATAAGATATAAATGTCATTGCATTTTATTATTGATAATTAATTATGCTTTATTAATAATTAATTAATAAAGAATTATTATTTATATTCTATTGTACATTATTTAAAATTTTTCTAACGATGAAATGAATGTGTGATAGAAGAAGGAATAGAAGCAAATGCAATAATATTTAAACATTAAAATTTGAAATCTCCAAAAAAAAAAAAAACAAAAATTTATGAGGAAAAGCTTATAAAAGTAGTTGAAATTGGTTCCATCGTTGCTTTTTCATTTTAACAAATTTTTACGCTAAAATATCAAATTTCAATATTTTATACTCTAACATTTACTAAATTTATTTCAAATTATTCAGCTCATTTCTTCATTTCATTCTTATCCTTAATCATATTTTAAAATACACAAATAATCATTTTAAAAATATTTATTTGTACAACTAACAATTAATTAAATTAACAAATAAGCCTATAAATATATTTCAATAATAGTAATTATAAATCATTTCAAATGTAATTGCTAATTAGTTTTTTTTTTTTTTTCGAAGATTTTAATTTCGATTTGCTAATGTATCACTATATTTTACTATGATTATTATTAATTATAATATCATTTCCAGTATATCATTAATTATGTTTGTTTCATTCCTTAAAACATTATTTTATTGAAATAATCGATGAAAAATAAATTCATAAATTAGCCATTCTTCAATTTGGTCATTCATTTTAATTAAATTTGAAACAATTGATCATAATTAATGATTGCTAAGTATTGTTAAATATACAATATTTTTGTGCTTTTAAATTAACAATTTAAATTATAAAAAAAAAATTTTTTTTTCTAAATTAACATTTTTAAATTATAAAAATTAAAATTGTTTCATGAAGTTAAAAGAAAGAATTCCGCTTAGCTATTTTTTTTGTTTGTTTTTTTTTTTAAAGAAGGAAAAGAGAAGAGGAAAAGCTATTATTTGTTTATTTTTTAATTTTTCTTTTCCTTTCTTTTTTTTTTTTTTTCTTTTTGGTAACTAAAATACCAACTGCTCATTGTGTAACTTAAACTTAAAATAGTTTATGTTTTAGAAGTAATGAGCGAATATACAGGTGAAGATTCACGAGATGTACAATGTGCTACCAATTTTCGAGCATTTCATGATATTCGAGCATGGAGTAAAGCTGTTAAGGTAAATATTTAAATATTATTAATTAGGTAAGTAAATGTTTTTTTTTTGTTATTAACAAATCAATTAATTAACAATATATCCAAAAAATAAAAAAATTGATAATTTCTTTAAATATATTTTAATTATTAAAAATGAAAATTTAATTAATTGTAATTATAATAATTTTTGTTTATAAATTATATTATTTCATTTTCATTTAATTTCTAGCCATGGTGTGAATTTTTTCGCTTATCGCAATTTGGCTTTTCATCAAATATTAATGGATATATTACAAGGATGAAAAAAAATTTTAATCAATTTATGGCTAATTATGCTCTTATAAGTGCTATTTTAATGGTTTGTTTTTGTTTTTGTTTATTAATTACAAAAGAAAAAAAAAAAAGAAAATTAAATGATAAGAAATTATCATTTCAGATTTGTGGTATAATAACATCATTTTGGTTATTATTATCATCTATTTTGCTTGGAATATTAGTGTATTTCATTTACACAAAGACTAAAAATGGACCAATTAAAATTGGCACTGAAGAAGTACTGAATTATTTATTTTTCCTTTTTTTTAATTTTCAATTATTTTATTTTTCATTTTTCTTTTTTTTAATTTTCAATTATTTTATTTTTCATTTTTCGTTTTTTTTTTTTTCTCAACTTTTTAATTCTATGAAAATATTTTTTAATGAAACAAATATATCAAAATTATATCAAATTTATAAATACTTTTTAGATTCCTATTTGGATTTTATATGTTGCAGCAATATTCATAACTTTACCATTATTTATTTACGCTGAAGTTGGATATATTCTTTATTGTGCAATGGGTTTGTTATTTTATATTTTAAATTCTTTTTTGAAAAAAAAAAAAAAAAAAAAGAAGTGAAATTTTCCGAGTTGTTTATCTAATCTAATAATAGCACTGTATTTCTTAAAAATATAGAAAATACAGAAATAATTATTGAAATTTGTTTCTTATTCATTACTTTTAATATTATTTATTTAAAGTATTTCATTCTTTCTTAATTAATAGTTTCATTTCATTTTGAAAATTAAAATTTCCAAATTAAATTTTATAATTTTATAGTTTTATTCTTGGGAACTATTTTTAGGACAATTTTCTTTCTTTCTTTTTTTTTCTCTTTCTAGGAATTAGTATAATATTGGTTCTAATTCATGCTTCATTCTACAATAATAATGAAACGATTACGGCTTTACCGGAAGTAAACGTGGAAGTGATGACAAAAGTAGATGATCAACCACACGTAGCAGCTGCTGAAATTACGTCAAATCAGAGAATTTCATCAAAACGTCACGTACTATTTCATGATATTGAAGATGATGATAATTAGATTATAGTTTGTGATCATTAATTGATACTAATTAATTGCAATTTTTAAAGAATAAAAAAAAAAAGAGAGAGAGAGAGAGAAAGAAAGGAATTTAGAAATTTTCGACATTTTCAAATGTTTCATTGTAATGTCCCTCTTTGCTAATCTAATCTGTTCATTTTATTCATTTTTAATGATCATAAAATGTGACATTTATTCTCAGATAATAATAATTAACATTTATGATACCATTTATTATTATATAATATTCCTATCATTTTCTAATACATTTCCGATTGTATAATAAAAAGAACGAAGAAATTTGTATTTTCATTTGCTAATTTGAATTATTTTAGCTCAATAATAATATTCTAATTGTTACATTTAAATTATTTATAAATATCTATAATTATATTATAAATATTTATTGCAGAATATTTCAATATTTATTTCCATGATGTCTTTCTTTTCTTCTTTTTTTTTTTTTGCTTTTGCTTTTGTAGCATAAATATTATTTATTTTAAAATTTGATACTAAATATTGTTTCATCCATTATTTTTTACTCGTACATATATATTCTCGCTTAATCTCGGTGTGTGTTTTTTTTTTATTCATTTGCTTAAAATAATATATGAAAAATGTATTGTTAAAATTACTTACATATTATACTAAAGAAATTATTAATAAATAATATTAGCAACAAGTTTAATTCATTCAATTCAAAATAATCGCAGTAACCTGTTCAGTTATTAATAGAAAAGATTTATTAATACAATATAAATGTAAATTATCTTTTAACCTTTTATTAATTACATTGTAAATCATTTTTAAAAACCATCCATCCATCCCTTTAATTGACCTCTCTCATTGCTAAAACGGTTTTTCTTTTCCTTTTTCTTCCTTTTTTTTTTTCATTTTATCGTTTCATCTATAATTTAGTTTTTACATCGAAATTTTCGAATTAAAAAAAAAAAAAAATGCATAGATGTCACATTAATTTGTCATTAGGACATGACAACATTAAATTAGTGACCATTTCAAAATACACTGACCATTGGGCCTGTAATGTCCACTCGAATGAATTTGGAAGGAATAAAATCCAATAATTCTTGTTGGCACCCCTCGGATAAGATCATCAATCAACATTGGCTTATCTCTCAGAACAGGTCTGTGATCAAATAATCTATTTCGTCACTGGGAACAGCACCAAATCTTGTCGCAGTTGTCATATAATGAATGTCAACGCAAGAATTGAACTTTCATCGCTCTCCCGCCGAAATCAAGCAATTACGCACTGAATCATCAGCAAGATCTAACAATTCTTAACTAATTTATTCTCAAATGTTAAATTATTTTTGAAATAAATGTGCTTGTACTAAAAAAAGTACTAAAATAATTGAACATTAATAAATTGATTTAATTATCGATTTATCAATTACCATCCTTTTTCTCTCTCTCTCTCCTCTCTCTCTCTCTCTCTCTCTCCTATTCTTTAATAATTTTTGAGTAAAATTAATGTTCTATAATATTTGCAATCGAAAATTTATATTGTTAATCAAAAGGAAAAAAAAAATTAAAATAAAATAAAATGATAAAGTTATTCAAAAAAAAAAAAAAATTTTTTTTTTCCTTAAATTAATAGTAATAAATTTATCTAAAAATTGTTGAAATTGATAAGATTATTTAAGAATTTTAAAATGAAAAAAAATTATTTAAGACTTATTACCTAACATTTTTCATTCATTCATTTTATCATTCATTCGATCATTTTCTAATTCAAATCAAAGCTAACAACAACAACAACAAAATCATCCGGCAGCCATCGATGACAGTAGTCTAATATCAATGAAAGATATTATTATTTACTTTTATCCGATCGGCGCCTTTCTAATACTTTCAGATCTGTCTCCTTCCGATAATTTATGATTGCATCGTTTATTATATAAAAACAGTACTTATAACTATCGCTAAAGATACTTATAATACTTACAAAACTATCTTATAACTATTTCACATACACATACACAGACATACACATACACACACATACATATATTTTAATGATTTTATTCTAAAAACAAAGGAAAAAAAAAAAACTGAAAATTTATCAATCAATGATATCATTTATTAATTATTAGTCTCTCTCTTTTTCAAATTTTGATCTCTCTTCTTTTAACTTTTTATTCTAAAAAAAATTTTGAAATTATGTTATTTCCAATGAAACTATATGATAGCTCAATTTGTTTAAAAAACGCAAATTATCTCAATTTGATCAATATTAGGTTAGTTCAATTCATATTGATATGCTTCATTTATTAATTATTTAGTTTCTTTTCTAATTTTTCAAATTATCTCAATTTGATCAATATTTTCAGTTCAAAATTCATTAAAATATTACTATACGTTGAATTATTATTGTTATTATGAAACTATATAATAGCTCAATTTGTTTACTATATTTTTCTAATTTTTTCACGCAAATTATCTCAATTTGATCAATACTAGGTTCAGTTCAAAAATTCATTAAAATATTACTATATGCTTGTTTATTTATTTATTTATTTATTTATTTTTCTTTTCTAATATCAACAAATTGATAATATTACGATTATTTTCTAAAATGAACACTTTAGTATGCTATTTAGTGTACCATATGGTTTACTAAGTATCACAAAAAAAATTATTTAGTTAACGATGAGAGAGTAAAAATCAGAAAAAAAAAAGTAAAATTTAAAAAAAAAAAGGAAGAAAAAAAATCAATTCTTAAAAAATAAACATTAAAAGTTTTATTTATTTTTTTATTCTATTTTCCTTTCTCTGGCATTTTTATTATGGGAAAAAGTTTATGATAAATTCCACTTGAACTAAGCATTTTTTTTTTTTTGTTTACATTACTAACTATGTCCACAAATCCTAACACTAATCCAATTCGTATAATCCGATTGTTTCACCTCTGACCAGTTCAACTTACTTTTTTATTTTCAGTCATACCGTAAAACTTTTTTTTTTTCTTTTACTTTTTCCTTTATTATACCATTTTGTACATTTCACAACAATTCATTTCTTAAAAATTAATATTTAATTGCATTGTTTAATAAATTATGTAAAACATACAAATAAAAAAAAAAGAAAGCTTAACATAATGAAAAACTTGGAAAAAGAATGCCTAAAAAATTAAATTAAAACTTTAATTTTCTTTTTTTATTCCTTTTCCTAATTAATATGATTTTTAGCAAAGTAAATTTTCAAATAATATCTAAAAATTTAGAATAAAATTTTATCGTTTTTTTTTTTCTTCCAAGATAATATTAATGAATTTATAAGAGTTTTTTATTAAAATAAAATTTCAATAATTTTGAAATACTTCAAATAAGATGTTATGTAATGTAATTAATAAGTTTATAATATTCAAACTAATTCAAAACAAAAAAAAGTTGTTAAAAATATAAAAAAAAAAACACAAAACAAAATAGAGACTATTTGTGAGCACTGTACAAATGCGCATTAATTCAAATAAATTACAGTTATTTTGTACAAATGCGCATTAATTCAAATAAATTATAGTTATTTTGTACAAATGCGCATTAATTCAAATAAATTACAGTTATTTTGTACAAATGCGCATTAATTCAAATAAATTACAGTTATTTTGTACAAATGCGCATTAATTCTAAATTTGTACAAATGCGCATTAATTCTAAATTATTATAAATAAATTATAATTGTCCTTTTTTTTTTTTTTTTTTTCTCAAAGTGTACCATTGATGAATGTATCAGAAATGTTCGCTGTTCAACGAATGGTCCAAAAATGATTTATTACAATTTTTTTTTTTTTTTTGAAATGAATAAAAATAGTTATAATAATTATAATCATTAACGATGATATGAAAAAGAAAAGACACAACTAAATTGGTTTTCTTTTCCATTTCATTCAACTAATAATTCATCGGAATTCTCTTTCATCTATCAAAAAAAAAAAGAAATAATATTAAAACTTTTTGTTTTTCCTCAATAAATTATTACTTATATTATATGTTTAAGTTAAAGTATGAGAATTGAAAAATTTTTAAATGAATAATTTTGAGAGTTGTAAAAATTTTTACAACTTAACTCAGTTATAAAATGATCTTATTTCGAAGTAATGATAAATTATTTGTTTAAAGTACTACTAACTCTTATGTATATATTAGATAGATAGTTCTCACCAGAGATATATAACCGTTCCTCAATTTAAATTTTCAATTAATATCATTTTTGTTTTTCTTCTTCTTGCTTTTTTTATTTTATTTTTTCTTTCCTTTTTCAAAAAAAAAAAAAAAAAATAGAAAATAAACAAAATAATTGTTTTAAAAAGAAAGGGAATAATAACATTTATGTTTTATTAATTCATTAAAATTTATCAATTTTTCAAAAAAAAAAAAAAAAAAGCTAAAATTTTATTCTTAACATATAAAAATTTTTTTTTTCATATTCTAATATCATTGTAAAATTGATATGAAATTAGATATAAAAGTTTTAAAAAAAAAAAGTTTTGAATTTAACTTTTTTTTTTTTTTTGATTTTCAAAAATTTATTCTTTTTTTGAAGATTTATTATTTTCCCTTCTTTCCTTTTTTTGAATTTTTTTTTATGAAAGTGCAAAAAAAATATATGAAAAAGTATTAAAAATGTTAGCGATTTACTAAATGGCTATTTTCTCATCGCTTTTTTACAAAAAAAAAAAAAAAGTAAAGAAGAAGAAGAAGAAGAAGAGGAAGAAGAAGAAGAAGAGGAGAAAGGATCATTAACATAAAGCGATTGTCCCCTACTTACCCAACTTTTTTCCCTAACAAATGGGCCTTGTCAACCTTTGTTATTTACCAAACAAAAAAAAAAAAAAAAAAATGCCTAATTATTCATTTCAACTTTTTTTTTTTTTTGTTATCGTTGTCATTTTTATATTTATTTGATTCATACGTATCTATTCATTTCTTTCATTCTGTTATGTTAACAATGAATAATTATCAATCAATTAATAAAAA